CATTTAGATCTCTTTGGCTCCCTCTTTTCATCTAAAGACAAATCCTCACAAAGGCTGCTTAATTAGACCAAATTAGATTTCCACCTAGTGGCTTGTCATTCATTAGAAAACGCTGTTCTTTTTTTCTATTTTGGTAATTATAGGCTGGTCTCACAGTGTTCACTTCAGGCTCCAAGTATGACTTGCATTCATGATTTTGTGCAGATGAGAGGAAAATTATTCAGTCGCATCAAGTCTGCCCATTTTACAAGTTGGATAAAGATCACTGCTGGAGTCTTTTATGTAATGGGGTATACTCTTTCTTAAGTTCTAAATGATTAATTGTAATAGCATAAGTACAAAGTTTGCAAGCAAAGCTACAGTACCAGACAGAGGTGTCTTTCTACAGACGTAGAATTCTGTGCCGGGGATCTTTGGTTATCAGTGATTCCACCCTGCTGCAGCAGGTCCTGTCCTTGAGCGTAGAACAGAGGGGAGGGGGCAAGCTGAGCTTGTGTAGGGAAAGCCCCCGGGGTAAAAGTGCCCCCTGCAGCCTGTGTGTGCAGCTGTGTCTGACCCAGTGAGGGGACACCTGTGTCCCACTGTTCACACAACCTCCTGCAGCCAGCCTCGTGCAAAACATCGCTTCCAGAGGGGAGGGCAGTTCTGAAATTCACACCTGAGGTGGATCAGTCAGGAGCACGTCAGTGTAGGCTGCTCAAAAACCGTGTGTAGCTGGGTTAGCAGCATCCCTGCCCTGTCTGGAGGGTTTGTAGTGTCAGGAGTCCAGCTGCATATGTCAGACCAACAAGCGTTTTCTTGCTGGACTCCATGAGAGCTGCTTGCCCAGCCATCTCCCTGTGCTCTGGAAGGCTCACAACCCAGTGTTGTCTCAGCCTGAACACGGCCACACTCCTGATTTCCCCCATCCAACCCCCACTTCCTTTGCCATTAGTCACAGACACATTCATTCCCTGCCTCAGTTTCCCCAGCCGTTACGGCAGGATCATCACTTGGTGGCACATTCCAAAGTTTAATAAATCAGGGCCAGATTTTGTGGTCCTTCATCAAGCAAAACTTCCTTCGTCTTTGACCTTTAATGCTTATGAGAATCTTCAAAGATAAGTGCCAACTTATTATTAATAATCTTCCTGGGAGGGGAAGTTAACAGCACTTAGCAGCACGCAGCCCAGCAGCCACCAGCCCTGCTTGGACTTCTTCTGCATCAACACATCCAGATTTTCACGTGCATTTTAATACTATTCTTGTTTTCCCAACCATTTTTGTGAGAGATGGAAAAATAAGTTTTTCACCTTTAAAAAAAAAAAAAAAAGCTGATCAAATTTGCCTTTCTCAAAACACTGAACATTCCCTTTCTCATCTACCTAAACCTGATGTTGAGTTACTGTCCCCCAGAGGCTTTCAGTAGCTCAGTTCTGATGTATCCCTGCACTTTGTAGCTCACTGCCTTCTTAGAGTGTAATCAAACATCAAGCTAAGTAGCAAATAAATCTCCCGATCTCATAAGCTGCACAGCAAGATCATGTAAATGCAAATGAAGGGCTTGATTTCAAGCTGTCGCGGGGGGAAGGAGGGAAAAATGCTGGGCCTTGTCACTGCCATCACTTCACTCTGCAAGTGCAGTAAATCTGCAATAATAATAGTAATGGCAGCGTGACGGGAGGCTTTACTGTACAAGGGGGTGTAATGAAAAGTGGAACAGAAGGTAGGAAAGGAAGCAGGGCCTGCCGGGTTGGAAATGCAGCGGGTTTGCAGGCATCCATCGGCAGGACGGAGCTGATGGGGAGGGGATGGGGCACCCCTGCTGAGCTGGAGAAGAGGGGATCTGTGAATCTGCCCAGCATCCCCTCCCAAAGGGCTGCAGGAAATGCATGGATTAAAAGGCCTCCATCTCTCACTGTACCCCTCTGCACACAGGCAGGTGCCTCACCCCTCTCTATCTCAGCCATCTTTAGCAAATTAATGCAATGTGTGTTGATGGATCATAAATGCCAGGGGATGGAACATAAATGAGGTTTACAGCAAGCCTGCAAGTTCCTTTACTTCTCTGCTCTTTTGCGGCTCACCCAGCTCTCCTCACACACAGATCCGCTTCCAAGCCCAGCTTTTGCTTTGCATCAAACATTTTCCAACACCATCAGACACTCAAACCCAAATCTAGGGCTGCATGAATGGGAACCTACCTGGGAAGAGCAAGGGAGTTCAGTACTCCCAGCACTGCAGCCAACCAGGGCATCTCACTGACCACACAGCTCCAACACTGCACTGCTTGGAGCAGCATCCTCCAAGCACAGAACACACACCCCTGGTTCAAAAATTAGAATCACCCTGCTCAGGGGGAAGGGATGCATTAGCTGAGCCCTTAAAGAGAGTTTTAGAAAGCAGAGCCTCAGCACACATTTCTTGCAGGCCCGGGAAGAGGCGGTCTCTGCAGGATGCACTGGGAGTGTTTGAGGAAAAAGCCTGGAGTTGTGTTTGTGAACGGGCTAGATAAACAGTGTTTAAGATGCCTGATTTTCCTCACTGAGGTCATAAAGGGAGAAAACTTGCAGAAGGTACCCAGAGAAAATTAGGACCGCCTGGGATGCAGAGAGAGACGGTTTTAATTAGAGCCAAGAGGTGGGAAATAAGGCAGAGAAATGACATCTTAATGAGGTTTAATGAAGTTGTCTGCTGATGGGCACAGCTGTCAGACAGATCTGTATTCCAGCCAAGCAGCTTTGTGACAGTCTAAACCCGAACACAGGAAGCAGTGCTGGAGCTGGGGAGGAAAAAAGGACCTTCTGCACCAACTTTGGCTCTCTCCCACCACAGCTCATGGCACAGCACACCTACATTGCCCGAGGACAAGCAAAGGAAACCAGCCCGTGAGGTTGCAACAGCGTTTTGCTAATTTATGAATGAGAAAGGCTAATCTTTGATTACACTCAGCAGGATTCATTCCTGCTACATCCTTCCCCTTCTTTGCTTTTGTGGGTAAAACCCTTGGCATGCAGCCAGAGTCCTCTGAGCCCATTGGTTTCCTTCAGAGCCGCCGATTCTCTCCCTGTTCAACATATTGGACCAGATTTTTTTTTTTAATTAATTATCCAGCACCTTCAACTTTATTTATTCAGTGCAAAGCGACTGTAAAATGCCACCTGATCATAAGAAGAAACAGCACACGCTCATTTTGAGGTAACATCACACGCTCTGCAAAAGGGAATGTCTTCTGTTCTACAGAGTTGTGCATTCTGAGGTCTGGAAGCCACTTTGCCTCTCCTTTCCTGCAGCTTCTCAGCAATTTCCTCCCACCTGCCACACCTTCACCCCAGCAGCAGATTCTTAGCCTCGTTCAGCTGACCCAGGATCAGAACATGAGCCCTGGGTAAAGCCTTTCCTCGTGCATCTGAACAACACCGTTCAATTTCCCTGCAAGATCAGTGACAACTCCCCCTAAAAATAGCTGCCGTACGAATGCCTGTAAATACCAGAGAAATAGATCAACACTGAAAGCTCCTTTATCACTCCTGGCACCAGTTTATGCGTTTTGCGTGAGCTCCCTGACTCACACCCAGCGTGCACATATGGTTTAGCACCGCCGCACGATATTTCAATGGCAGCAGTGCTAAAAGCCCTCTTGCTGCCATCGCTGCACACATCTGCAAGGAATGGTCCCTTCCTCTGCCAGAGGTCTGCAGGAGGCAGTGGGGAAAAAGTAGCCATGTTATGCACAGGTTTGAGCAGGTAGCTGAGTTGGTTGCTTTCAAGCAGCTCATTGCTCGTGTTTGCTCGCATCAAAGGATCCATAGCCTTGCAGAGGGCAATAGGCTGCTGGAGTTTACCAAAGGATCTTAGAAAGTCCAGAAAATTCATTTTCTGGTGCGTTTGTGCTGCTGGGAATCACAGGGATACCACATCAGTTCCACAGTGCCATGAGTGGTTGGATTTAACGGCCCCAGGATGCAGGATTTCCCTCCCAGACCTGGGAAGCCAATGCCCAGCTGTACCTGAAGCCCTGCTGTGTGGCTTTGCAGACACAGAGATCTCAGCCACAGAACAGTATTTCAACATTGCCATTTGCCCCAACACTTACAACCTTCCTCAACAGGCTTCCCATGGAAAATAACCCATCCCAAGGCACCTACCCCGTGCCTCAGGGCTGCAAGGAGCTGAATGCCTCGCTCTGCTCCCTCTCCCCAGCAGGAACACACACAGCCCGACTGCTCTCACCCTTCCCTTCTCCATGGCCTCTCTTTCAAGCAGCAATAAGGTTTCAAGACACACACATCCTGCAGTGACTTCACCATGGAGATGGGAGGGTTGGGACAAAGGGGTGAAGGGAGGTCAGTTAATCCCACAGACAACACCAGGCTGGGATACACATGGGCTGGGTAAGAGTTCATTTTGAAACTAAATAGAAATGAGATTATTGAGCTCAAGTTCTCTTCTTTTCTGTGCTATAAATCCCAAGCTCTGCTCCCCCTCCTTCATCGCCCTTATCCCACCTCAACATGCCTTGCGCCTTGATTATTCCCAGGCAGGAGTGGCAGTGTGATTGCATTTGGGAGAGTTTATGGAGAGCGAACAACTTGGAAGTGAAATACTTCGAAAGAAATTTAAGGTCAGCTGCTGAAAAAAAAAAAAATAAATAAATTTTAAAAAATCTGTCTGCCCACCATTGCTGGGCACCCTGGCCAAAGGAGAAATTAGTCAAACAATTAGATTAAAATCATACATATTGTCAAGGCCACGATTTCTAGCATGGCTGGATCACCTTATAACTCAGTTGTGAATCTGTGCCAAATTCAGCATCCCACAGGCTCCAGGCCTGAGGAAGCCTCACAGCTATGAGATCTCCTCTGTGCTTGGGTCTGGGCAGTGGGATCCATCTGGTGCCAAGAGCAGTCAGAGCCTCTGCAGGCGCTCATGGCCATGTTCTATACATGATTTTGTTTTCAGAGGGTGCAGCTCATCAAGCAAGGTCTTTATTCTTCTTCTTTAACCTCATTCTTCCACAGGCAGAACTGGGAAAGCCTCTGAGAAACTGCTATACACTGCCAGGCTTGGATTTTTCATACGGGCTGTACATCGAAAGGACAGATGGAGGAGTCCCTGAAGGTATGGCAATGCTACTAAAATATACAAGTCCTAATGCTAACAGGGGCTCTCCTTCCCAATGCTCCTCATTACTTCTCAGAAAGCTGGGGCTGAAAAAACAACATTCACCCACTTCCATTAATATTACCCAAATTTCTTGGCGATTGGTAAATCTTCCCCATCACCTTGGAAATATCTATTGGATCACACAAACCCCAAGCAGAGAAGGGTATGGCAACTGCAAGAGTGCAACATATATATGGCCACTTCATAACTCAAGAGGACTGCTACTGTGTGCTCTCAGGGATTACCCTATGAAATCAAACTTGCTGAGGCCCTCAGACCTGGCACACAAACCTTGCACAGTCCTGTCTCCCCAGATAAAAGTTACCATCACCTTTTTCTCTTTGCCTCACATTTCCTTTCATTTCCAGCAATAGGCCACTGGAACACAATAAAGCCTAGGACGAATTTAACTCAGAATATGCCCCGAGACTTCATCACCATGAACCGTGGTGCTCTGAAGGCTGGGTATACCACAGCCCGGGAGTTTAACTTGTACTACAAGGCCAAGGACATTCGGTGCAAAGACGACGAATACAGCCGCTTTAGGAGATCTCCTCCTCATGTACCTGCAGACAGGACCTATGGCATCCCAGCACGGTAAGGAGAAAAGCTCAGGGCCCTTCTCAGAATGACGTTATCCCTTCCTACCTTCATATTTGCAACACTCTCACATCTCAGCCAGCTCAGTCCCCAAGAGAGAAGTGACCCAAGACCAGACATGCTGTGATGGAGTCATAGTGTTACTTGCAGGCCTTGGTGCCTGGTTCCATCCTTCATGGTCACCTGCCTAAATCTGGTCTGCATGCCACAACACATCCCCAGTTCACCTCTTAATACAAGCTTGGAAACCTTTAAAATGTTATATGTCAATCCTTTGACTTAAAGGAGCAGAGAGCTGTAAGCCAGAATAACACTTCCCTGGTCAGCAAGTGATGCTGAGGCAGAGCAGCAGCATTTCTACCTGCTCACACTGGTTGAAATACTCTTGTGCAAATAAGGATGAGTTCAGATTCTTTATCCCACTCTCTCATACTTGCTAGATCACCACCCAGCATTTAGAAGTGGAAAAAGTGACCCATTTGACAAGTCGCTCAGACTCCAATTCCTGATTATCCACTGTGCTGATTTCTCATGAGCAGTTGTGAACAGGGGTTCTGTGGGGGAAAACAAGCACCCTGCTCAGCCTGACCCCCAGACACCTGTCCTCTACAGCAGCACAAAGGGGCTGCAGTACACAGGGTGCTTTGGAAAAGCCAGTTCAATTCCAATGCAAACAAATACTAAAACCTCCAAAAAAGGTCTCCAAAGCAGCCCCAATGCTACTGGAGCGCAGACTTCTCTTGCTCTGTGCAGGTCTGGACTAGACATTAGGTTTCATTTTAAGAGCTAGATAATAATCACTACCAGCAAAATAACAGCAACAAATTCTAGAGAAAAGACATGATGAACTGCACTGTGTATTTTACATGATAGTAAATGGGCTTTGCATATGCAAATTGAATGGATTTTAAAATGGTATTTAATGACAATTTTCGTAGCAGACATTAACATTAATTGCATCAAAATGAAAATGCAGCATTAGCTTGCTGTTAGCTGCAAATGCCCCAGCTATAAAGCTTTATCTTTATCAGTATCAGCCCTCACCAATGTGACAGGGCTGCTCTGCAAATTGCAGGCAAAAGGGCTTTTATGTTGCAAAAGTATCCCCCAATGTAGACCAAAATCAACATCAATTTTGCTTTATTTCTTCATAAACGGAGGTTAAATGGCTGCCTGTAAGAAGTCTAGGCACGTTCCAAAAGTTTTAAGGAAAATCTGCAGACCCCACAACCACAGAAGTAGTGAGAAAGGGCTTTTAATTTAAAGTTATTATCGTGCAACTTGTCTGCTCCTTAATAGCTACCTTTTATGCAGGCTGATTGTATTTATCCCCTAACTTTAAAAGCACGTTATAGACAAAATCAAATTACCAGCATCACCAAGGAGCTGTTACAGCCATTTGGGTAAAAGTGGGGAATTTAACTCCCTTTTCATGACCGACAAGTTAAAGACACCCATGTGGGTGAGCACTCCCAGCTGGGGTCTCCCAGTCGCCACAGATCTGTTTGAGCAAGACCCTCCCTGCTAAAAATCAACTGGCTGTCAGTGCTCTCCTGCTTTTGGACTCCAAGCTCTGTATAACTGCTTCTTATTGCCAATTGGGAATGTGTTTGCTGTTAAGGTACACACTTGTCTAGGGGCAAAAAGGGAGACATCAGTAGCAGGCAGCCCCTTTCCATCTCACCAAGCTCTTGCTTGCCTTTAATAACATCCACTTGGATAAAGACCTCCAAAGTTTTCCCACTGAGAACAGTGTGTGATGTCCCCCTGCCCAAGGCACAGCACAGACGGTGCAGCCGAGGAGCGAGCACTGCTGAAGGTACCCAAGTGTCCCAAAGACACCAAGGTCAGGAGCCGTCCCCAGGCTCATGAGTACAAGCCCTCCTGAATCATCCTGCATGGAAACAAGCCGAGATAAATGCTGGGGTTGCTATTAGTGCCTTATTAATCACACCCTGGCCCTGCTGCTCCCTCTAGCACAGATCACTTTCTGCTTTCCGTTCTGGTGGATGTGTGCTGCATGAAGCATCTCACCAGGCACCTCACAGACATCGGTGAGAGCTTTCTGAGGCTCTGGGGCCCGTTTCCTTGCACAGGATATTTACCTTCAAAGGTCACCCATGCCCCCTCTCTATTAATTCCCTGTGGGCACCTTCCAGGGGAGAGAAGCAGCTCTGCTTTTTTGCTGATTCCCCCCATTCTCTCCCTCCCTCTTCCCAGAGAAATGTTTGCTACGAATCATGTGGCAGCTTTGTTGTGAGAGTCATAAAAAGGACATTTTTCATCTCTCCTTTTTCCTGCTCTCGCTCCCTCTCTCTCTCGGTATCAGACAAAGATTTATTCCCTCCCTGATGCCTGTGGCATTCAAAGCTGGGAGGGGTCAGGGGAGGCACTGATGGGACGATAATAGATAATGCAGCGGTTCCCCAAGGGCTTGTCCAGCTCCATAGCTGATCCATCAGCAGGCAGCACTCGTGCCAAGGTCAGCAGTAACGAGGATGCAGTGGGGTCCCAGCTCGCCCCACGGGGCAACCTCCAGCCAGGCTCCTCTGATTCACACTCCAGCTTCTGATCTCTACAAGAGCCGCCTCGTGGAAGCCACGATTTGCAAGAGCATATGCCCACTGGGTGCAGGCACTGGAGTAACAGCCGTGCTGCAGTGCAAATGCATTCAGTTCCACCTGCCCCAGCCTGCTTTCCAGCTGCAAAAACAGCTACAGATCTTCTTTCAAGGAAAATAGCCATAGTGATACTCCAGGAGATGAGCCTGTCCTATCAATGCAGGCTCTTAGCGTGGGGCGTGTTGTGTAGCTATAAGGCATTTGCAGCACAGGATTGCTGTTCTGCACTCAAGTCCTCTGTCCTTTCATTTAAAATAACCTCCCGCATTGTGCTAATAGCAGCTGTGTTCACTCCCAGCCTCTTCATGTAGTGTTCCACAAAAGGGAGGATGCAAGGTGCTCAGTGGATTGAGTCCTGCTGTCACTGGGGACCCAAAAACACAGAGGGGCTGTGAAGACCTGCAGGATCTTTACTGGTGTCAATACAGCACTCGGAAAGCCCCAGTAAATATCAAGGCAAATATTTAGCCTCCCCAACTTTTCTGATTGAAACTTATCATGCATTGAAATTAGCAGGTATTAAACTATCATTTTTGGAACCATAAGCCAACATAAAAGATAGGGATGCTGTCCACAGCCCGATTTTAAATTATATTGATTTGCACAAGGTCACACATGGGGTTTGAAGGCAAAACATCCCAGCACACAGTTGGTACCCCAAGCACAAGTTTTATCCCCAGGAGCCAGGGACAAATTCCAACAGTGCAGAGTACATTCTGAGCATGAACACAGTCTAGCATTTCCAGGGCTGCTTTTAGAGAAAAGCCTTTCTTTACTTCTCGTTTCTTAGTGCAAGTTTGCTAATTCTGCTTTCCACATCCCTGCACACATTCCTGGACACAAGGAACCGTGCAGACAGGATTTTCTGCCATCCTACACCTGCACCTCCCTCAAACCCTGCATGGCCATAACCCTGCCTGAACCATGCTGCCATCCACTTGGCAGTTGGCCTGTAGGTTGGGCTGACCTTGGGTGTGCTGGCAGGATTTCCCTGGCACTCTGTCATTCCCACATCTCCAGCAGGGTCCCCCCTACTGCCCGCCTTCACTTTAGCTGTCCCTTTCCTGAATTTCACATCCCATTTTCCTTCTAACTTCTTTCCTCCTACCAGTCCGCCTCCCATTCTCTACAGCCAGTCTTTATTCTTCACCAGCTGCTTTCACTGTGTTTCTGCAGCAAACTCATCCCCCTAAAGCATTTCTTCACTGCAGTCTCTCCTCTCCAAATTGACGTAACTAACCAAAGGCATCAGTTACCCAGTACCTCCTCTTTCCTTCGTATCATTTGCAGCGGCCTGATGCTCTGCTGACAATTGTCTCAGTGGCCTTTAGCAGCTCAGCTGTTACACTGGGTACTCCTGCAGCTTCCTGGCATACCTGGCTGCTCTGTCCTTATCTTTCACCTTTCCCAAGAAGAGAGGTTTCAGTGCTCATACCTGTGCTTTGTAAGTGGCCTTTCGTCCCAAAATGCCCGTGCTGTTTGCACGCAGCCAGAACAAAGTTTAGAAGGCTGTCCCAAATGCTGCTTTAATATTCCCAGCATCTCTCTGGCACAGGAAATGCATTAGCAGATCTATTTTTTGAAACACTTAAAGAGCATTCCAGGTCATCAATGTATAGCCCTGCAGGCAGAAAGAAAAATCCAGCTATCCAGATTCTTCCCATGAAGAACCCATCAGGAAGAGGTGGGCAGGCAAGGAAGATGAATATTATAGCAACCCTTGGTCTGCAGTCAATTGGAAGCAGAACAAATAACGCGTAAAGCCACAGAGCCTCCCCCACACTGGGGCAAACCAATGTTTTATGGAGAAAAAAAACAAAACATCCGAGGACTGACAAAGAAAAATTATAAAAATATTACATAGAGACTGAAAGTCAGGCTGAAGAGACCAAAAAATGCAACCAAGTTAAAAAAAAATAAAATAAAACAGGCCTCCCATCAGTTCAGATAATTGCATATCCTATCCAGCTCCACCACAGAAGACACTTTGTGCGTCTGCCACCATTCTCACATTGCTAAGATAAGAATTTCTATTTCAAGAGTCATTTCTTTGCGTTGGACACCTTCCAGGCTGCGATGTGCTCACATTGCTGTGCATGCTTTCACTGCTGCCTGAGTTGCTCTGCTGTGTGCCCACTGCTGCACACAGGCCTGCAGTGACCCTGAATGCACCACACAGATGTTGGCCATCCTGCAGCTGCAGTGAATAACTTAATTCCTTCAGGCTTTAGGGTGAAGAGGAAAACAGGCAGGTCAGGGTTGGCCATAAGGGAGCTAGGAAAAAAGATCTGAAGAGCAAAGATTTCGATCCCTAATTGCTAAGTGCATTATGCTGAGTAGGAAATAATTCACACTCCTATACAGTCCCTCCCTATC